ACCAAGTTCTGTTTGCCCGGCAAAGGGCTCTCCTCACTGTCATCTCAGAGCCTCCGTGGGATGCTCGTGTGCCCGTGCCAGCATCCCAATGCACTCCCCCCAGCTGCACTTTGCCAGATAATGAGAGCGAGTTTAGAAACTTAAAGCCTCTTCCTTGCACGCTGGTGAGTGACACAAATGGAGTTCATATTTAATCATCTGTTAACTCGTTGTCTATTATAGCTCTTTAATAGCACCATAGATATTCTTAATGAAGCATGATTTAAGGTATTTACAGCTCTAGGACCGACAGACATCACTCACAGTGTGCAGGTAATGAGGCGTAAAACAGCTCTGGAAACCGTAAAAATGGGAGAGAGAGAGGGAGAGAGAGAGAAAGCGGGCGAGGAGTTGGAGCTGAATTGTTCCGGGGTTTGTTTTAAAATGTTTAGGCATTTAAAGTCATTTCAGCTTCCCGAGGTGTCTGATGGCATCGGGTGCAGTGGTTCCCAGATCCGCGACCCCGACCTCGATGCTGGGGGATGGGGACAGCGCTGCTTCAGCTCTATCCCGCCGCACAAAAAAGCATGGAAAAGGGGAAAATGCCGTTGTGGGGTCTGTCGAGATGCGGCTGTTTGCTTTTTGGCCAACCCAATGGCATCCTTGCAACAGCGAAGCGATGGACCTTCCCTTTGCTCATCAGATGTCACCCCGTGCAACGCTCCCCAGCAAAACAATCCACACACACAGAGTGCATAAAAACCCACCCGGACCCAAGCCAAGATTTGCAAAATAATTTGTGACGGAGGTGCCATTTTGCATCAAAATATTGTGCAGCAAATGTCAAACGCCACCAGCCCATGTGTCCCCACGTGTGATGGTAATTGGGATGGACAGCTGTGCTCTGCCACCTCCTCCTTGCGTGGTGATCCCGGCGCGGCCGGTCCCGAGCAATGGCCAGCGTCCCGGCTCCGAGATGGGGATGCTCGTTAGCAAAGAGCTCATTAGCTTGCTTCCCGTCACTGTGTGAATAAATAGATATGGGAGAAGTGGGGACGGAGCACGCAGGGAATGGGTGGCACAGTGCGCTTTAGTTTGTGCTTTTTGTTTGGGTGGTGGATTTATCTCACGGGTGGAGAAGGGGCAGCAATGGGGTTGCAATGTTCCCATCGCCGAGTCCTTGCTTTGGGATTGCGTCCTGTGGTGATGGTGATGTGGATGGAGCTCAGTTTTGGGGAAACCATTGCTATGGGGTCTGTGATCACGGGGGTACAGCATGCTGCTCCACTCCCTCCCAGAAATGCACACTGCCTGCATGGGCATCTCCCAGCTCTGCCGCAACAGATCTGTTCCTATAGAGCGTGCGCCCCGTGCAAGTTCACCCTGTTTTTTTGCATTGCTGCACCACGAGTGCAGGACATCTCCATGGGAAAGCAAGCTGCTCTCCTTTCGGAGCAAATAACCCATTTCCCAAACTATCCCAAGGGCCTCCATTGGGGAATAAGCCTTACAAATCGACGCGCTCAGCGTAACGACCCCGCATTAATCCCTTATTATCCGGACATCGGGCTGCATAAATATTTGGCTGCCTCAGCTCCCCGGGGAGCGGGGGGGGCAAAGCCTGTTAGAAAGTCAATGAAGTTCCCTTGGGCAGTGCAGGGGGGGGGATGAGATGCTTTGGGTCAAGCGCTGAGATTGTGCCACATGTCCCCTTGGGCAAGTCCTGCTGAGGAGGGTTAATATTGCTGACCTATTTTGCACGGGGAAAGCAGCGAGGCTCTGGTTTCAATTAGAAAGGTAAAAACCACCTCGAAACACTGCTCCCACAACACCCAACTCGGCTGCAAACAGTTTTTTCGCCTTCCTCACCCCCCCGTTAGCCACGGGAGAAGGAGCTAGAATCTCTCTTTGGCGAAGCATCAGCAGCAGAATTGCTAACTACGTGCCCGTTATAGAAACTTTTTAGTACTGGGGATGAGCCAAGAAAAAAGCCCAGATTGACTCTGAGCTCTCAGCTGGCGCTCGCGGTGCTTCCACTGCGCAGGGGGAGCGGCAGCTCCGGCTCCTGCATGGTGTGCAGGCAGCATCCCACACCCTGCATCCCATATCCGTCATCCCATATCCTGCACCCTGCACCCCACATCCCCCACCCCGCATCCTGCATCCCACATCCCGAATTCCAAACCCTACATCCCGCACCTCTCATCCCACATCCCGCATCCCACACCTTGCATCCCCTCATCCTGCACCCTGCACCGATGCAGCTCCCTGTGAGCTGTCGTGGGATGCATTTGCCCTCCCGTGCTGCAGTTGCATGCAGTGAGCTCTGCGCTGCTCGCTGTGCTGTGGTCCACATCCCATGTGCTGTAAGCTTCTCAAAGTCAACCCAACTGGGATGCTCCCAAGCCCAGCAGACCCTTTATTTGTTCCGAACAACACACGTTGTTGCACTGTGACTTTGCTCATCACTTGGCTTGTTCCCTTTGAGACTGGATTACCAAGGTGATCCAGGCCAGCAAAGCCTGGATCCCATCACAGCACACACTGTATCCTACATCCCCATCCCCAAAACCCCACTTTGGCTGCTGGGGAAACGCCATCGCCAGCCCGGATCCGCATGTGTGCCGCTTCCATGTGTGCTCGTTTCCAAGGAAACTGCTCTCTCTACATGTGTGTGGCTTAGCACCCTGTGTGCTCTGCTTCGGATAAATCCTTAATTCCTGCACGGTTCCCTGTAATCCCACTGCACAAATCCCTCTCTCCCACTCACATCCCACTCCCTGTGTTTCCCAACCTGTGGATGATGGCAGAGGATCGGCTGCAATGGGAGCTGCATGCTTTGCTGCAGTGATGCATGGCGCTGCTCTCTGCTCCCTTTGGGATGCGCTTTAGGGTTTTGGGATGGCACCACGCTTTGGGTTTTTGGCCAGTGCCGTGCTGCAGGGCTGGGAGGGGCGGTTGAATAGAGAGCACTTTGCAAGGAGTTATTTCTTATGCTGGAACCCCAAACAGCTTTTGGTTGCCTTGGCAAAATTAGCAAAGTGTGGCATTTTCTAAAAGCGGATTTTGGGGTGGAGATCTCCTTCCCTCCTCCCCAAAACCCCCGGAGCAGTGACACTGCTCAGTGCCACCCAATGCCAGCAGCCAACGAGGTGATCCCACAGTGGGGAGGACTGCAGGATGAGGAAACCAACCCCAGCACCGCTCTGCTGTGGGGCTGCAGCAGCAAAACCCCATCTCTGTGCACAGCACAGCCCTTGTGCTCAATGCGGCTGCACAGGGCACTGCTCCCTGCACCCAGCAGTGCAAGAAAACCTTCCTCATCCTCACAGCTCCGGTGCACCCTGTGGGATCCACGCATGGGACCGACCCAGTGCCCATCCCCGTGGGGGTCTGCCCTGCTCCGCGTGCACAGCACCTTTCTAGGCCACAATCTGTACCCAATCGCGAGCCTGCTGCTAACTCCGCTTGCACTCTATTCTCGTGTTTGCTGTTATTTTTTAACACTTGTTTTATTTTTTTTTTCCTCCTTTTTTTTTAAATTTTTTTATTTATTTTTTTTTAATTTTTTTTTTTTTTTTTTTTTTTTTTTGCATAAAAGCGCTACCCTCTCCCCAGAGCCTGCCTGCAGCGAAGGCATGGTCTGTACAACTGCAATTATTTCGAAGAACAGATGGAGCGAGGAGCAGAAAGTCTGTTAATAGTAATAGAAATGCTACATGTTAACCTGGACAGCACACGATGACAGTCCCATGACTACACGTTCTGTTCCCACCAGCTGGGCTCCGAAGGAGAAACGAGAGCTTCAGAAGCGCCGCGCTCAGCGCTGCACCCTCCCTAAAGTTAGAGCTCAAATTCCTTCACACTTGCCGAGCGGGGTTTTGGGGTTGTTGGGCTTTTTTTTCTCTCCCCCCCTCTCCCTCCCCAATCCCTCCTCCTTCCCGTTTTCGGCACCGACACGAAAATATTTCCGCTCCTCCACGGTGCTCCGGGCGACGCTGCAGCTGTGAGCGCTGTGTCCCCATCTCCATCCCATAGTGACCCATTTTTTTGGGGTGCGCATCTGCACGCTTGGCGTAAGCCCGTTGCAAAGCGATTGCGGTGAACCGAGCTGGGATTAAGGCACGGCACCTTGCTCTGGGGCAGGTTGCATCAGCACAGGATTGCAAGCTCTTGGCTCGGTGGGTCTAAATCCACGTTTTGCTGTCAGAATGGCTCGTTTGGGGGAGATGGCGCTTTGCGGTTTGCACCGAGGGCTGAGCCGTGCTTGGCTTTGGGGGCACGGCGACGTGGGGGGCACCAAGAGTGTGGTTTGGGAATGGAGCAGAGGTGCTGTGTGCGGGGCAGTGATCCCACTGTGCAATCCCTGCCCGTTTCCCAAGGCATGAGGGGATTTAGATAGCGAGCTCTGGCTCCATGGATGAGAACCTGTGACTCAATCCTGCGGCGGTTCCCTGGAATCTCAGCCCCTAGAGGTTGCACCTGGAGGTCTCGTTAGGAGAGGTCTCTTCATCTGTCAGCTTGCAGGATAATCCCTCTCCTGAGGTCCTGCCAAATCCTTACAGATCAGATTTTCCTCCCACAAACCTCCAGAGGTCACTTCAAACCTGCGGGGCCCCAAATCCCTGCACTGGTGGCACCATGGTGCGCTAGGTGCCCTCATACAGGGGCCAGGACACCCAAGGGTGCCCACAGCTGGGCATTGCTTTCAGGAAATATCCTGGCATCCTATTACAGGAGAGCAGAAAGCCCTGTGCTGTGCTACAGGGTCAGGGGGAAATCCTGAGTGCATTTATTTCTATGTACACCAAAACACCCTTCTCCTTCCGCAAAGCCCTTTTGGAGACGTTGGGGTCACTGGGGTCCAGTAGGTCTGCATGCCTTGCGTTCCCCTCCTTGCTTGTTCCCCACGCCTTGCATTCTCCTTGTATGCATAGGAAAGGGTGAAAAGCAGCGATGCAGGGTCAGGCTGCTCCTTGCTCACTCAACCCCATGCCCCCCATTGCTGTCTTCTCTCGCAGAGCAAGAAGTACGTGGTGATGCTGGTGGACCCCGACGCTCCCAGCAGAGCCAACCCCCGGAGCCGTTTCTGGAGGCACTGGCTGCTCACTGATGTCCCCGTGAGTGTCCCCAGGTGGGAGGGCGGTGACATCCCCACGGCTGCACCCGACGGGGCACCATTCATCCCATGGGTGGAATCCCAAAGGGGAGAAATGCGAATGGCGCTCGGTGTGTGGGTAGGGGAGCACTTCCTGAGACCGAATGCAGTGAGGCTGGGATTAAAATATTGCTGCTTTTTTTTTTTTTTTTCCCCTCTATTTTTTTTTTACCCTTTCCTAAAGAAATACAGGAAAAAAAATGCAGCTTGCAGACTCCTCACCCACAGCTCTATCTGCACTCCATCTCGCGAGAGCTCTGGTTGTCAGCTTATTTTGGGAGAGGAAGGGGGAAAAAACAGCAGTTTTGGTGAAAATCTCAAAGGGAGGGAGGGAAAAAACAGCAGTTTTGGTGCAAAATCCCATATTTTCCCCAATTTTTCGTGCAAAATCCCGTATTTTTCCTTTGGGTTCAGCACCACACAGCGGATGGGGACCCTTCAGTCACCACTTTGCTTCCTGAGAGCTTTGGGCGAATCCGTGCTCTCCACTCCTCCTCTTATCTCCTAAAAGATGCGGTGTTTCAGCTCTGAATCAATCTAACTAATAATCTGAAGTCTAATTAAGATATCAATTAATTTGCAGCGTGCATTTAACAAGAAATATCTCGTCATTCTCTGCTATTATTCTCCGAAATTACTGCTGAGGGCTTTTTGTACAGATACCTTAATTAGGTTTTTTTTATGGTTAATGGGAATATTGAGCAAATTAAAATTAGATATTAATATTTTCTGCGAATTTCATAATTGGCTAAAAAAAAAAAAAAAAAAAAAAAAAAAAACCAACCAGAAAGCATTGGGAATAATTGCAGAGATTTATGTACAAGGCCTTTCTTTTCGTTATTTTTTCTTCTTTTTTTTTTTTTTTTTATATAATCCTTCACAGAAGCCCTTCTGCATTTCTAACAACAGGGTCTTGGAAGTCTCTCATTAATTTTAATATTTACTAAACGCAAAAAAAAAAAAGCTCGAGCTCTTGTTTTCCCTTCTGTACACAGCTCCTTCTGAGGCGTTCGTTATTGCTAATTATTGTGGTTTTCTTGTCTTTTTTTTTTTTTTTTGTCTCTTTTTTTTTTTTTTATTTTTTTGAGCGTGAGATCGTTTGGGCAGAGATGGGGGATTACAACCAGCACAAACGGTTGGAAGGCGCTGCGTTTTTCTTGAGCAAATCAGTGTTGAGGTTGGAAATCTCCTTTGCAGGATGGGAGGAGGGAGCTCTTTTAGCAGCAGGATGGGTTTGGGGGGAGAAAAGGTGAATTTGGGGAATGGTTTCGCCGTCGCTCGGTGCTGCATCTCCATTGGCCCCAGCTGCAGCTGTTCATTGTGCTCCATCTTTGTGCTATGGGCGCACAGGCACATCTCCTTATATATATGTATACACATATATATTAGGATACCCATATTTATATGGCATCTCTGCACCCATATACATGGGCTCACCATTGGGCATCCCTCCCCGAAGGCGTCTTCCTCCTGTAGGCACGGAGTGACCCTCCTGAAACCGAAATTTGGGAACGCTCCGTGCAAACTACAACACCCCAACTTGCCACTGAGGTTGGGGACCTGTTCTGACGTGAAACACCAACAAAAAAAAAACACCATAAAACCATAACAGGGCCCACTTAGGGTTGGTGTCCCAAAAGGCAGCGTTGGGGTTGGAGCCCCCCATCCCCACTGGGTCCCATTCGCTGCTCCTTATCGCCAACGGCGGCACCGCCGCTCCGCCTGTCAGGCGCTGGGGAGATGCTTTCACTCCCATTCAAAATAATTTAAATAAAAACGTTGCTACAAAGTGGAATAATATCTTTTGATGAATGTTTTTAAAGCCCTTTAGGTTTTCATGGTAATTTGCAGTGTAAAATTATTTAGAGATAAGAGCCAAATTAGCTCTTATAGGCGGAGGTCGATATGTCCCGTTATCCATGCAAGCAGTGTTTAAATATAATCAGCCTTTACTCTAATGCAGCATAATTGTTCATTTGAAATCGCCTTTTTTTTTTTTCTCTCTCTCTCTCTCTTTTTTTTTTTTAACTCCATTCAATGAGTCATTAAAATATTCAAAGGATAATGCAGCGAATTGGAAATGAATTTATCACATTATCCCGCGTACACCGCGGAGCATCAGGTAGCGATGCAGAGCTGGGGCCGGATGGCAGAGCCACCCAGTAAACATCAATTCCCATTCCGTATGCAGCAAAGGAAGGGAGAAAATCCTGCCCAGGGGAAGGAGTGCATTCCGGCGTTATCCCCCTCCTCGGGAGCTGCAGATTTGTGCTCCGCCGCAGCGTCGCCGCTTGAACTTTATTTTTATCCAAATATGTTTGTAGCAGAAAGTCGTTATGGAAACGGGTTCTGGCAGCCACCAGACCCTGCGTTGAGATGGGGCGGAGCGGGGCTCGGTGCTGCCCCAGCCGTACCCGCACCCGCATCCTGATGGGGGGATTGTGGGGAAACTGAGGCACAGAGCGGCGTGGAGGTGGGCACAGTGGTTGGGGCTGCAACGTGAGCCAATGGGTTGAGAAAGTGCCAATGGGAGCCCTCAGCCCAGCACTCGGAGTTGGTTTCTCCCTTTGGGGAAGGGTTGGGTTGGGTTGGTGGGATGGGCTGGGGGTCGGCATTGGGGTCACTGCGCTGTCCTCGGTGCTGAAAGTCCCAGTGCCACCACCGGCCCCCTCCTGTGCCTGCGTTTGTCACCGCACTGATAAACAGGTTCTGGGTTGCAAGTGTCACCATAGAAACAGGTACTATCTTAAGCAAACAAGGGCTTTATTAACCTTAAAATTTGAGGTTGTTTTCTTTTCTTTTTTTTCGTATGGCAAGAGGCTGGGGAGGAGCTGCACACCCCTGCACCCCATTAGGGTTCCCAACCCTGTCCCCAACCCTGTCCCCAACCTGAAGGGAGAGAGGTGCAAGAACCCAGAAGGAAACTTTTCTCTTTGTGCAGTGCCAGAACTGAGCTGGTCCAAAGTGCCATGGACGTAACCATGGCTGTGTTGGGGAAACCAAAGGGCTGTGGTGATTGGGTTGCACTGGGCAGAGCGGGGTGCAGTCGGTGTGGAGGCAAATTTGGGAGTCGGACTCAATGATCCTTAGGGGTCCTTTCCAACTAAGGGTATTCTATGAGATGATTCTATGATTCTAAATATAATAGTGGAAGGAGAAGCTTTTTGGTTGGGTTCTAGCAAAAAAAAAAAAAAAAAGTATATATATATATATAAACTAAATCAGGTTTTGGGTATGCGAGCTCTGCCTGCGGGAAGAGGTGGGTGTGGGAAAGCTGCCCCAGGGAGCTGCCAGCAGAGGAATGCTCCTTTGGGGAGAAGCAGAGCATCAGGACTTGGAGCTGTGGGGATGGGGAGGATCCAATCCCAACCCCAACACCATCAGCATCCCTATCACCATCAGTCCCTGTTGCAGCAATGGGGATTTGATGGGCAGCAATGCAATTGTTGGAGAAACAGCCAAAATTGTTGGCCATCATGGCAGTGATGGGGGATTTCAGAGCAGCAGTGCAGTTACTGGGGACTCAGTGTTGTTCCCCATTGGTTCCTATTGCAGCGATGGGGAGCTGCAGAGCAGCAGTGCAATTGTTGAGGTGTTGTTCTGCCTCTCTGGGGCTCATTCTACGCTACTTTTTGGTTATTAAACCAAACAATTGAAAGGGAAAGAAGAGAGAAATGCTGTTTTAATTGATGACTTGGAATATTTGGTTCCCCAGTGCGAGTTTGCATCACTGCCTTTTGATGAAAGCTTTATTAATAATTATTAAAAAAGAAAAGAATAACGAAAGTGGAAGGAAAAGAAAACCATGCAGAGGGTTTGCTGCTGGGGCATGGTTTCTCTGTTGGGTTTTCTCCCTGGGGCCTCATTTTGGGGATGAGGTCAGGTGTTCACCAGCTCCAAAGCTGAGTATCAACCACTACTCATTGGCACTCTGCAAGCAGATGGGCTTTAATTACTGCCACCATCAGCAAATATCGCAGGGAAAAGGGCTCTGGGACTCACTGCTGGAAAATCCAGCTTCGGCAGGGCTATGTAGGAATTGCAGATCCGGCTTATTTTAAAGCTTGAACTGTTTATATTACCTTTAAACATAGGCTTTAGTCAACAGCATGAGTGACTGTAAGGCACAATGCTGCCCAAGGGTCTGCCACGCCAGAACAATGCAACAGCAGCAACTCAGTGCTGATGGAAAAACAGCACCAGAACATGATTGGCCCGAACTGCCAAAGAATGGAGCTGCTAATCTGTGTAATTTCTTGGGCACCGTTAGGGCAAAGTGCTGCCTTCCTGTTGCTGTGGGAAAAAACAGCGCGTGCAGAGCTGCCTGCAGGGGAATGCGTGTTTGCACAAGTGCCTGTGCTTGCACAAATGCACACACCTGTGTGTGTTTGCACAAGAACGCTTCTTTCTATGTGCAGCTGTTTGCACAAGCACGCACCTTTGCACGCGCACATTTTCCCTCGTATGTCTTTGCACAAGGGTACGTTTGCACAGATGGGTCTTTGCACGAGGATGTGTGTTTGCTCAGAGCCTCCTTGCATGCATCAGGTTTATCCCTGACTGAGCGGCTGCTGGACTCTCCTAGAGCTGTAGCTCGGGCTCCTGCCCTCCTGCCTTGTAATTAACGCTCTCAGTTAATTGCACTTCCAGCTTCCCCACTAAGCCACCACCAAGCAACTCTGGCTGGGAAGCTGCAGAATGAGGAAATGCAAAGGGTGGATCTGATGCACCCTGGGGAGCACCAACATTGGGATAGGGCATTTGTAGGGCTGTGAACATTGTGGGGCTGGGACAAGAGGGAAAATATGGAGGCATGTCTGCTCCCGGCCCCACACATCAACTCCAACCCCACATTTCTGCTCCCAGCCCTACATATCATTTCCCAGCCTTACACATCAGCTCCCAGCCATACAAATCTTCCCCCAGCCCTATGTATCATCTCCCAACCCTACACATCAGGTC